TTTCGCACTCCCACTACTCGCTGGTAATAGGACAAAACACTTTGAGCAGATCGGCTTACAATAGTTTAGCAATCACGAATACTAAACTTTATTGCTTTATTATCAAGATGCCTCACTGAATTGTTTCCTGACCACATAGAATATTAGGACTTTAAATAACTGGCAATATGATATCTTGTTTTGTCATTACACATGTTTTTTTCTAGCGCCGATTCCGATGTAGCGATTCGAGGTATGATGAAACGGTTGGGAAAATGAAATAATTTAATGATTGGAGTTTCTTTGGCCCTTTACCCCGTTCATTCGTTTATTTACTATAGGCAGATAAGATTAATATACAGATGCTCCATCTTTGCTTTGCAATAAAGACTTATTACTGTGTTATTAAACCTGCAAATCAAATCTGGCATATGCTTCACATGCAAAGCAAAGTACAAAATGTCCTATAGCAACGAACGAAATCTGAAATGAAATTCTAGTGGTGACCAGGTTGGGCAGATGGGTTCACGACAGTCGGTCGCGCAGCCTCCAAAGCAAAGAATCGCTCCCTCAGTCGTACTAGACAACTGCGAGAGTTCCAGAAGTCCGATGTCGTCATTGGATATGCGACAGATGTCGCAAATCGGTAATGACATTCTTAACCGTGTCTTCTTGTCGTCCCATCAGCAGCAGGGGACCGGTTCGTCGCCTCGGTCCTCTTCGTTCGCAGGGCCTTCATCGACCTTGATGAATGGCCAGGTCGCTGGTCACTCTTCGTCGGACTCTAGCGACCCGGACACAGATCTTTCGGCGGGGACGACGGTCACCTCGTCGTTTGGCATGCCGTCTTTGGATCGACTTTTCCGCCTCTGCTCGACCAACTCATCCCATACCGACACCACCGTCTTTCTGCCATCGGTTGCTTTTCGATGCTTCGGTTCGTATGCCGACTTCAATAATTCGAGGCCTTTTTGCTTACCACCGATGTTGTTGTTCAGATATGAAATGCCCAGTGTGCCACAAGCATATCCCGTCAGACGAAGTCGAATGCCATTTGGTAATGTGCTTGACGCGACCTCGAATCACGTACAACGGTAAGTCGTGAGGACGTTGTGAGGGAGAAACTTTTGAGTCGAAAAGGGCTGGGAGTGTAAAGTTTTGGTGTACAGCAGGAGTTTTGTGGGAAAGATTGTCAGGCGGAACGGCTTGACATTTTTTAACTTCAGTGTATCGGACGTTATACTTACCGGTTATAATGTAAACAATATTTTATCCTCCTAATTATCGCACATTCACAGTTATATTATTTGATGAAGGTTATTAACTGGCATATGAGGTTGAAAGTTATTTCTTATTCGAGTAGCTTTAAACGGTGCTGTACTAGCAGCCGTGAAAGGTCACTCGAAATCGCACTTCATATGAAAAAATACGATTATCTTTTATGTGAATGTAACCAAGTTTCGGAAAACCGAAAAGCCCAGTTCATCCGAGTAATTTGAGTGCCGTTTGGCTCGTGCCTGTTAAACAGTGAGAAGTGTGATACAGCATATGGTCAGAATCAAACTTATTTGCCAGATAATGAACGGTGCTTCATTGAACTGCAGTCATTTGCATACAAAATTGGTGAATCTGTATACATGGTAAGTTGAGGCGTTGTATCGCATTGCTTCCGAGGTTGGCTTCGAACTACATGTGGTGCCGGGTTCGATTCCGGAAAAGTGAACTTTTTTCTTTTAACCGCGAATTCCTTTAAGGAAGAAATTTATCCCTCGTTGCTTTCGTACCACCAGTAGCGAAACGGGTATCGATTCATTGATTTGCGAATAACTAGGACAGCATGGTATTCTAGAATGATCGTACCTGAACGGGCGTGATGTGCGGTCATGGTATCCGCAAGGGGCGCGTTTGTGGCTTCACTTTGCCTTGACTCACCGAATAGCTGACTAGTTCCTTGTGCTAATTATCTCAAAATATAAACCTCGAAAAAATGCATTATCATTGGCTTGCCGAGGGCTGGATACTCTAGCCGGAATCTGGAATCGTCCATGTTGTACGGACTTGTCACGTGTATATACACGGTTGTGTCATCATCACCGTTTTTGAGCCATTGCTGGATGAAAGTCTCTTCAAGGCTTTGTCATAAACGTTTGTTACCCGCGATTTTTGTCCATCTTGATTCAGCGTACTTCTTCAGCTCATTGGTGTTATCGAGCTGTAGGCCTTCCTACTGACCGTTTACTTTCCCTTAAAGTACAGTTTTATATCTGCCTTGTCAAATCATGGTAGGTTCTTCTTGCAACGTTTCCTGCCCATTTCTGCTTTAATTACTTCAGTCAGGTAATGATATCGCGAACTCTTGTTTGTACACTTATTATTCATTCGTCTTGTATTTTCTTGTTATTCCCAACATACCTTTTCATACTGGGTTGCGTAGTCGATGGTTTATTAATAGCTTTCCGGTTTAGGGTTCATGTTTTACATCCACAGATTAGCACTAGGAGCACACACTGATCGGATAAACACATATGATAATGTTCCGAATAAACGGACCTTCACTCTTCCAGAGGAGTGTTCTGTGCTATTTTCATTCTTCTGTTGATTTTACAGATTTAGTTTTCTGTAGAAAAGATAAGGTGTCCTACATGAACATATATTAAGTAAATATTTAGTTTTTTTCATGCCGCCCATCACTTCCGGTTTCTTTTAATTATTATGCGAATAACATTGAAATATTACGTGCTGTT